TTTCTATGCATTGCCTCCATAAAAAAGAAATAATTCTCAATGCAGGCTCAAAGATGACAAGGGCACCACTTTATTGTGAGAAGCTAGTCATCAGCTACCCCAGCTAACAGAACCCCCTGGAATTTAAACAGAAGAGAAAGAGCTGAGGAGCAATAATCTTTGCATCTAAAAAGTGGGACGATTAGCCCCTTATGTGCCTTTTTTTTTGGTAACCAATTGCTGTCATGATTTTTTATTTTTTGCCCTTAGCTAGATTAAATTCCACTGATATCAAGGCTTACAAACTGTTTTAAATTATTGAATGTAGGATTACCAGCAATCTTTCCCCTGGAATTTAGCATGCTTTAAGACCACCTCAAATTCTGGCACTCCTTCATGATATTTCTTCTGGAAGGGAATCTCAAGCTTCAGTGCTCATTCGATTCATTCACTTGAGAGAAGTTGTTAAAAATGCATATTTCTGGGCCCTCTTCCCAGAAAGTGATCAGGGCCCAAAAGGGGCTTAGTAATCTGAATTATGCGTAAGTGTCCCAAGAGATTCTGTTTCACGCTCATTTGGCTCATGGGCACAGTTTGAGAAATACTGATTTCTCCCTGTTCCTCATCTCCCCTGTCCAGAGTGGTTCCCACTGCATCTCAAGATTGCTGTTTACAACCTGAGCCTCTCTTGGTTTACATCAGCTTCCTTACCTCAGCTCCATCCTAAACCAGAATGTGAATTCCAACAGGGTAGGAAATTTTGTCTCTTTTGCTCACTGTGTCTCCAGAACCTAGAACAGTGCCTGGCACATTGTAGATGTTCGATTGACTCTTGATGAATGTTTTGAAGTTATGACTTTTAAGTGCACTTAGCATTTTAATGATTAGACAAAACACAAATGAAAGGGAAAGCTTCAAAATGAAGGTGCCATTTGTCACAAGAGGAGTGACAGTACATTGGACACTCAGAATATTTGGAATTTGCCTTTTGAGTTGAACTAAGGCTAGAATTAGTTGTAAGTTGTCTTTAAGTGCCCTCCAACCCCAAGGCCAAGTTTGCAGGCAGCGGTGGGAGGATGAGCCTCCTCACAATGAACTCCCGACTCCCTCTTCCCCTTCAGCACAAGCCTCTATTTTCCCAAGGTAGGAAGTTTAGTAAGTTGGGAACACCATAGAGGGAAACATGTCCAAAATTAATTTATCCAAAAAAGTTTCAGAATTCACACAAATAGGAACTCAGGGTATTTATCTGTGACTGTTGTTCAATGTCCAAGTGACGGTGGGAAGATGACGTTTTTTGAATTTAGCGGAGATGTTTCTTTAACCTTATCCAAGCTGATAAGGAGCTAAGGAGACACCGCTGCTCCGTGTGACACAGCCTCTGTGAAGAGACACACTCTCTCTCTCTTCCACATCACTTAAAGATAGCCACTTAACTAGCTGGCTAATTAAAAAACAACCACAATGAGGTCCCCCAAAAGCAATGTTGATAGAAGAAAGAATATCAGAATGTTGCTTAAGGGTTTTCTTTACTTAACCAGTTTAGTCACAGACAACAAATGGTGCCCATTTATGGAAAAGCCACTACATGCAGAAAGCCTTCACTGACTCTGAAAAACAATGAGATTTTTTTTTTCCCTAAAATTACATTATTTAGAATTAAGTTCCTTGAAGTGATGCTACTGGAATGAGCAAAGCATCATTTAATGTCTTTCTTGACAATACTAGGGAAATGTTTATTTTCTCAGAAAAATATTTATGAGCAAAGGCAAGCATTCTCTTTGAGAATTGAAAACCAGGTAGGGATAAACAAACAAATATCAAGTCAGGGCATGATTTATATAATCAAGGGGTTAGTGAAATACCCTTGTACCTAGAGAGGATTTATGATATATTCACATGACATTATTATTTCCTCAAAAAGGTCAATTGTATAAAAATCTATTCCATTGAGATACCGTCTGAAAAGGTAGCATGGGGAGTGGCTAGAGATGACGTTGTCTTTCATTTTCCCACGAACCTGGGAATCTACTCCTTCTAAGAATGTGCTTGTCCTCTCCCTATGGCAAGGGGTCTTTTGGATGGTGCATGGCAGGGGGTCTTTGGGATGGTGCATGGCAGGGGGTGGGGTCAATTGCGATTGTGCTCTTTCTCTCTGCTCTTTGTACTGGGCAGCTGGATGGTAAGGTTGGAGGAGAATCACTTATATAGTGAGCCACTCATCACCTTGCAAACAAAGATATAACAAGTACAGGAGGGTACCTAGAATTAATTGGGGTAGAACAGTAGGAGGCCTAGACATGAAAAGAAGTGTAAACCACTGGTTGGAGAAAGGTTGAAGTGGGAGAAGGCATGAAAAATGAATTAGAACTCCTTTTCAATTTTTCCAGTAGCCAATCTCGTTGTCTGCTGATACAGAGATGGGGAAGCTGTTTTAATTACCCCAAGAATGGCAAGAAGGTGAAGGACATTTCATTTCAGGCTGCTAGAGTTTGGCACTGAGAATTAAAATGCAATTACATGTTAAAAAAAAATCCAGATTGTAACCCCAATGTCATTTAACTTGACAGGGACACTTTTTAACTAAAGAACTATAGAGAAAGTAGAGCTCCAGGGACTAGGCTCAGCTATTGCCACCTGAGGAATCTCTCCAAGTCCTGATTTACTCATTCATAAAAAGGGACAATAATATCTATTTTACTTTTCTCAAAGGACTGTTGAGAAACAAGTATGATGCGGTACATGGAGGTACCTTGTGACAATCAGACATGAAAGAGCTGCCCCCTGGGTGTGACAGGCGGATCCTAAAACAACCCCCAGGATTTTCTGCCTAATTCCGGGACCATGAATAGGATGAGATGCCCTGCCCTTAATATGCTACCTTATCTGGCAAAAGAGACTCATCGGTTAGCTTTGAGTTAATCAAAAGGGAGACTATCAAGTGATCTTGTTTTGTTCCCGGGACCCTTTAAAAGCTGAGTTTACTCTGGCTGGTGGCAGAAGACATCAGAGAGATTGACAGCAAGAGCGTGAAGGGACCATGTGGCAAGGGATGTCGGGCAGCCTCTAGAAGCTGAGAGTGGCCTTTGGCTGACAACCAACAAGAAACAGGGACCTCAGTCCTACAACTGCAAGGAACTGAATTATGACCAGAAGCTGACTGAGCTTGGATGCTTATTCTTCCTTGGAACTTCCAGATGAGAGCCCAGTCAGGTTGATACTTTAATTTCTGGCCTGTAACACCTGAGCAGAGATCATAGTTAAACTCACCCTACCTTTTGATCTTTTGCTGTGTGTTGTTTTAAGCTGGTGAATTTGTGGCGGTCTGTTACACGGCAATAGAAAATGAACACAGCAACATTATCATTAGTTTGAAATCATTTAAAAAGAGTATACTTATAAACTATGGAAAATTGATCTTGAAGACATTGGTAGACAGATTCATGCCTTGATAGCTGAGATTCTACCACGATTAATGGGAGGTCCCAGAGACAGGGAATTAGAGCGATAGTTGCCATTAATTTAAATGTTCACCAAGGATCTCTTCTCAGCTTTAAATTTCTGGTAGGTGGAGAGGGACAATGAGAAAGTCTCTCTATTGCAAACACATTTGGCAGGAAATTAAAAATGCCTTTTCTTGGATACCATACCACAGCCTGTTTTAAATATCAATGTGGCCTCACTTTGGTTTCTTTTATACATCAAGTCCTTTCCTTTCATCTTTTATTTAATGAAATGTTATGAGGAAGTTTGTCCCAGAACAAGAAAACACCAAAAAATAAAACACTCTGAAATAAGTTTCCATTTCCTCAATTTGCTTTTCTCACCACCACTGCCAAGCCAAGGCAAACTGAGGATCAAAGAAATAATAATTATGATTATATTTTTGCGGGTGGAAGATTCTAAGGATCTAGCCACAATTTTGAGGTCAAGAAAAATCGGTATCAAATAATTTAAATTCAGATAGGTTAATTGGACGTTTACTGAGTTTCTAGTGGCGATAAAAACACAAAGCTTTATAGATATCCCACCCAAACATGGAACAGGGTACCTTTTCAATTCTGTTTTCCTGAGATTTCTTAAAGTAGATGGTGGGAATCCCAAGTTCGGAGGCAGCTATCCACTGCAGAGTGGCTCGAAGCTCGGCGTCAGGACACTCCGGCTCCAGGTCGAAGTTGATCACCAGTAGACTCCTCTGGGGGCTGGCTGGTCCCACAGGCAGTTCGGAGGCAGGTTCTGGACACAGACACAACCACAGCCTTACTCCCCTTTCCACAGGGATATCCCAGGCAATTGTGTGTCAAAATTATGGGAATGTGGCTTACCCTCTATGTTTTCTGACTGTCCTTTAAGAATCTCCTTTTCTTCTACTAATTCACTTTGGGAGAAAACAACAGTATATGGTTGGTAATATTTAGGAAGAGTAAGCTGTAAATGGAAGATGAGGCGATGGGCCTTACTGATCTAAAAGCTTCTGAAGTTCATCCTGGATTTATGGTTTGTGTGATGTAATGGGGGGGAAATACCAGTGTGGCTGTTATGCAGGATTACTGGGTCTGCAATAAACATCCCCCTCTAACAGCAACAAGAAAACCCAGATAACCTGAATGATTTTAGTTGGGATAATTGGTGTGGGAAACTCTGAGAGATGCAGTCTTCTCTTCTCTTCAACCTCCCTTCCATAAACCTTCACAGGTGTGAACAGCCAAGGAGAGATTTTTGTAGGCAACTAGTTCTGATTTGGAGATTTATCCTTCTCCTGCATTTTACTTGTCATTTAATGGATCATAAGTTTCTATCTTGTCACAATATTTTTTTCTATATTGTGATGGCAACATAAGCTTGTACTTTAATATAGAAAATATATTTTATATGCATATGGTTCTTTGATCTGAAATAAGAGAAAAGACAGTCAATGAATTGCAGAAATTAAATTGTATGGCGAAATATCTCAACTAAAATTTTTCTTCTTTTTATTGGGGAAAAGTGTAGTAGGCTGAGGGCAGTCTAGAACAAGGGACTCATAATGGAAGTATGTCATTAGATACAGTAATGTTCAATGTTAGAGGTCTTTGCATATGGTATATGCTTATTACAGAGCCTTGTACCTTGGTAGGAGGACTCAGTAAATGCTTCCAAAGTGAGAGCATATGGCCAACTGCTAAAAAGATGTGACAATCTTGAGAAGCCTGTGGTTGTCTTACACTTTTGTCCTGTATAGAAATTAGAGTACAGGTGCCCTTCAAAAATGTGTCTTTTGAAGATAGAGGATTCTTTCTTATTCTCTGTTACTGCTAAGATCTGGCTAATAAATTCCACTGTATTCCTGATGTTGAGAGAAAGAATATAGTCACTCTTTCATTCATACCTAAGTATTTGTAGACATGCCAGTTTTTTAGGGCCTAGATTTTCTTCTAGATCTCTATGTGAGTGACATAAGTGATATGACAAATGGCAGGTACAGTTTCTGCTATTAAGGAGCAGCAGGATAGTGAGTATGGGAGGTGATGGTCTTGGCCTTCCCTAAATACAG